GTGTTCCTGATGTTCTTTGCTGGTCTGACATTGTCCAAAAAAGAAATGTACTCTACCTGACTTGTTTAACTGTAACCCCTCTGTACACCACCTTTCTAATAACAATAAAAGTTTTTTTCCTCTTTTTTAAAAAATGTTTTCTCTTTTCAGACATTATTTGTTATACTTAATCAGTCTTGTGTTCCTTCTAGTTTGTATTTATTTCTGAAATGAATTTTTTCTTTTTTACTTCTATTTCTTTTTTCTCTTATTTCTTCCAGAGATAGTTTTGTTTTTGTTTTTATTTTTGTTCTTTGTTTTGGTTGGTTGTGGGGCTTGAACTTGGGGCCTGAGCTCTGTCTCTCTGTCTCTGAGCTCTTTTGCTCAAGGCCAGTGCTATACTATTTTGAGCCACAGTGCCACTTCCAGTTTTCTAGAGGTTAATTGGAGATAAGAGTTTCATGGGCTTTTCTGCCTGGGCTGACATTGAACCTTGATCCTCAGATTCAGCCTCCCCAATAGCTAGAATTACAGGCATGAGCCACCAGTGCCCTGCTTTCCCAGAGTTTTGTAATTGTGATAGCTATTGTTCTTCATGTCTTGAATCCTTTTCCTAATGTTATTTAGCTTGTTTTGAAATAGTTTACATGTTTGATCTATTCCCAGGCCTATCTTTCATGATCTGTAAAGATGAAGATGATATTCTGCTCCTTATTCTTTCTTTTTCCTCCTTAAATTTAGGATATGGGATATGACCCTGATGGTTTTTTTTTTTTTTTTTGTCGGTCTTGGGGTTTGAACTTTGGGCCTGGGTGCTGTCCCTGAGCTCTGCAGCTCAAGGCAAGCACTCTGCCACTGGAGCCACAGTGACACTTCCAGTTTTCTAATGGTTAATTGGAGGTGAGAGTCTCACGGACTTTCCTGCCCAGGCTGGCTTTGAACCACACTCTTCAGATCTCAGCCTCCTGAGTAGTTAGGATCACAGGCGTGAGCCACTGGCGCCTGGCCCCTGATGCTTTTTGTTGTATATTTTTATGTGAAATTAGTTTTCCTGTGGATTGTTTTTTAAGGGTCATAGTTCAAGAAACTTTTCTAATTCACAGAGCTCCCTCTTCTGTTAGTTTTGTAAAATGTGCAAAAATAGGGTGGCTTCCTTTATTTTTTTTCCATTTTTATTTGGAGTTTGTCTTTTATTGTCCCTGCCCTGCTAAATTTTGGTACCACTATCAGCAGCTTTTTCTCATTGTGGAGTCCTGTTTTGGAAGTTATATTTAGTTGCTAGGTTGGTTTTAAGAAATTGCATAGAGGGCGGGCACCACTGGCTCACTACTCAGGAGGCTGAGATCTGAAGATTATGGTTTAAATTAATTCAGGATTAAAAATCTGTGTTGAACCGAACCTGGGTGCTGGTGGCTCATGCCCATAATCCTAGCTACTCAGGAGACTGAGATCTGAGGGTCCCAGTTCGAAGCCACCTTGGGCAGGAAAGCCCTTGGGCCTCTTCAGTTAAGTACAAATAAATAAATAAATAAACTAATAAATAAAGCTAAAGTGGGTCCTTGGCTCAGGTGGGAGAAAATCCAACCTACATTCATGTTTTAATCTTTTTAAAAATTTTTCCTTTATAGACTTAGTTTGTAGTGGTGACTTCTGTTGAGTTTGTGTTTTGTTTTGAAGTTTTGGTTTACTTGTTTGTGTTAAGATATTACAAAAGCAATCAATACAGAAAAGGTTAGAAGCAATATATCATTATAGTAGAAATGAAAATATTTTCCGATTATAGCAGTTAATAGTAATACAACATAGGCTGGGAATGTGGCCTAGTAGTAGAGTGCTTGCCTATCATGCATGAAGCTTCAGGTTCAATTCCTCAGTACTATATACACAGAAAAAGCTGGAAGTGGCGCTGTGGCTCAAGTGGTAGAGCAGTAGCCTTGAGCTGAAGAGCTCAAGAACAAGGCCCAGACCCAGAGTTCAAGTCCTACAGTTGACACAAAAAAAAAAGTAATATAGCTACATGTGTTTATGAAATGAATTTATCTATAGCAGGAACTTTGTCAAAGTCAGAGAGCAAATTATGCAACCTGCGTAAGTGACACAACTTGTGCTTGTGTCATTGACGTTAACAGCAAGAGATGGGGAAAACTGATTGAGACAGGGAAAGCAATCTTTTGTTAAAAATTATCACAGGGCTTGGAATGTGGCTTAATAGTAGAGTGCTTGCCTAGCATGCATGAAGCCCTGGGTTCAATTTCTCAGTGCCACATAAACAGAAAAGGCCTGAAGTGTAACTGTAGCTCAAGTGGTAGAGTGCTAGCCTTTAGTGAAAGAAGCTCAGGGACAGTGCCCAGGCACCAAGATCAAGCCCAATATATATATCACAAATGCCTGATTTAGAGACATTTACTTGGGAAAGCAAGTTTACAGGAGAATTAAAACCTGCAAACAATGGAAAGTACTGTTGTCAAACTTGGGCTGCTATCTACAGGAGACTTTATAAATTTAGATCTCTTTACACACCTGTTCAACATCAAAGTGAATGTCTCCTGGGTAACATAAACACTAGAACTGCTAAGCTAAGGCATGAGAAAGGAAACTAATTAGGTTTTGGCCAATATATCATCTATCCTTCCAATTTTTAGTGTGATCAAAACTGATTTCTTTGATGTGTGTGTTTATTTATGTGTATGTGGAGCCTGGTGTACTTCTCCACAAAGGACATTATTTCTAGTTTGAGAATGATGAAGGGAACTGGGCACTGGTGGTTCACACATGTAATTCTAGCAACTCATGAGTCTGAGGTCTGAGGATTGACATTTAAAGCCAGCCTGGGCAGAAAAGTCCATGAAGCTCTTTCTTCATTTAGCCAGGAAAACAAACAAGCAAACTGGACAAGAGGTATGACTCAACTAGTAGCATGCCAGCCTTCATTGGAAAAATTGATTGAGAATGCTAGGCCCTGAAGTTCAAGCCCTAGTACCATATATTTGTTTACTTTTTAGCAATTTTGCTAAACAGTACTGAGCCTTTTTTTCTGTACTCTTCATTTCTACTCTCTTTTTCTATACTATTTTTTATGTTAAAAAATAACAAGCTAGTTGTAACCTACTAAATTGACTTAAACTAATATATTTATTAAAATAAAATAAAACAGTTCTCTTATACAATAAGTTTTAGTGCTGAAAGTATTTTAGGATAAATGCTCTTACTTCAAAATATTGCTTGTGCTTATCTCCCTGGTGTGAAATGTTAGGGCTTGTAAATTTCAAATGGACCTGTTAAATATTAGCATAATTTTATTAATGATCCATAATTAAGTGTACAAACTGCCAGCCAAATTAACAGTTGGTCTATTTTTAATTATAAACGGGTAAACTCATTTATAGATAGCCTAGTAGACTTCAAATTATCACCAAGACTTTAATTAAATGTTGCTTTTACATTTTCTACAAATTGATTTTTCTTTGTTGTATTTAATTTGGGAAGAGTGTCTGTGGTAGGAATAGAGGACAAATAAAAGATGAAGGTCAGTATGAAGTAATGGGGGAAAAGGTCTTATTTCTCTTACTTGAACTCTTACTCATATGTATAATATCCAAAAGGATTTAGCATGCCTAAGTTTCTAAAAACTACACACACACACACACACACACACACACACACATGTATGTATATATATATGTAGGTGGATGCCACTGGCTCATGCCTGTAATCCCAGCTACTTAGGAGGCTGAGATCTGAGGATCGTGGTTTGAAGCCAGCTCAGATAGAAAAATCTTTCTCACTCCTCCCACTCTTATCTCCAATTAATCATCAAAAACCAGAAATGGTACTGTGGCTCAAAGTGGTAGAGTGCTAACCTTGAGCAAAAGAGCTCAGGGACAGTGCTCAGGCCCTGAGTTCAAGCCCCAAGACCAACAAAAAAATGATAAATAAGTGTAATAATAACTGTATTGCAACTTTTTATTCTGTGTGTGTGTATATGTGTATACCTGTTGTTAGGGCTTAAACTCAGGGTCTAATACTCTCATACTTGAGCCACACCTCTACTGCGGGCCTTTTACTGATTAATTACAGATAAGAGTCTCAAAGACTTTTCTGTCTGGGCTGACTTTGAGCCACAATCCTTAGAACTCAGCCTGCTGAGTAAAATTATGGGCGTGAGCCACCAGCAATAACTTTTTTTCTTGATTCAGAGTCTCACTATGTTGCTCAGACAGGCCTTGAATTTGCTAAGTAGTCCAGACTGGCTTTGAATTTGTAAGCCTCTTGCCTCAGCCTTATGACTGCTAGAGTATAGGCATGTGCTCTAAAATTAACCTTTTAAAGTATATAGCTTATTAATAGTTTTAGTATATTCACAGAATTGTGCAACTATCACCACTAATTTTAGATTATTTTTATCATCCCCCAAGAAACCTTGTACCCATTACTACCCAGTCCTTTCTGCTACCTTAGCCTCTTGTAGCCAACTAATGCACCTTTTGTCTTTATGGATTTGCATATTCTAGTTATTTCATATAAGTAGAATAATACATGATCTTATGACTTTTTTATTTTGCATGACATTTTAAGTATTGGTACCTCATTCTTTTTCATTGCCAAATACTAGACTGTATTTTGTTTGTTTATTCATTCATTCGTAGATGGACATTTGGGTTTTTCTACTTTTGGGCTATTATGAATAATGATACTAAGAATATTTGCATACAGGTTTCTGAAGACATTATTTTCAGTTATCTTGGATGAATACCAACGAGTGGAATATTTGAAGGCTAATTCGCTAATTGTATGCTTAACATTTGAGGGTTGGACAATCGGTTTTCAAAGAGCTTGTACCCTTTTGTCTAGCTGAATTTTACATAATCCAGTTTTTTTGGCCTTAATTTCAAACATATTGAACATTATGTGATGAGTTGTTTGAATTGATAAGAGCAAAATCCACCTGTTAGTTTGTAGAGCTGGTGATACATTTTTTGTAATTTTGATGTTAATCATTGCCTTTTTTTTTCTTCCAGTTTTATCTCCAAGACACTAAAAGTAGTAATGGTACTTTTATAAATAGCCAGAGATTGAGTCGAGGCTCTGAAGAAAGTCCACCATGTGAAATTCTTTCCGGTGACATTATCCAGTTTGGGGTAGATGTGACAGAAAACACACGGAAAGGTACGGGTATGGATCAGTTTTTCCTACTATTTACATAAAATATTATATGCTTATAAAAACTAAATACTGCATTAAATATATGCATAAAAATGTTTTGGGGAGCTGGGAAGGTGGCTCAGTGGTAGAGTGCTTGTCTTGCATGCATGAGGCCCTGGGTTCGATTCCTCAGCACTACATAAGCAGAAAAAGCTGGAAGTGGTGCTTTGGATCAAGTGGTAGGGCGCTAGCCTTGAGCTGAAGAGCTGAGGGACAATGCTCAGGCCCAGAGTTCAGCCCCCATGACCGACAAAAAAAAAAAAAAAGTTTTGGGCTCCTACTTCCCATATTACTTTTCTAAGATTAATTAGTAGTTTGTATTCTTCATAGAAAACATAGGGGGACTGGGAAGGTGGCTCAGTGGTAGAGTGCTTGCCTTGCATGCCTGAGGCCCTGGGTTGGATTCCTCAGCACCACATAAGCAAAAAGAAAAAAGCCAGAAGTGG